AACACTCAACCCTGATTGGACAACGAATTTAACAAACATTTCAAATTTTTTTAACAAACACAATGTGAAATACAATTTATTATACATATTAACGTACTACAGTTTTATATACTTGCAGTAATATTTACACTTTATAACGTTTGTGAATAGTTTTGATTGTATGATTGAAATTATAACAGTACTGTTAAAAAAATTTGAAATGTTTGTTGAAATTCGTTGTCCAATCAGGGTTGAGTGTTTTGAGTTGTTCAACGACTTCCGCTTTTTGCACAGCAAACCGGGCACGCGGATATATTTTGGCCGAATTTTGTTATTCCCTCACGGATTTCAGAGCGAATTTAAGCTCTTTGATTAAAGCATCGTTGTTTTGAGAGTTATACGGTATCATTCTTGCAGGGGATATCGATTAATCGTGAAAGAAATGCATTAAAAGCGAAAAATCGAGGATAGTTTCGTGTGACATATGCCAAGTCTGGGCTATTTTGGTCTCAATGTCTCCGTCCTTCCCTCGTTATAAGGAAGGCACAGGCGGGCGCGGGCAAGTCGAGCCTGGGCCTCCTGTGATTGAATCCTTGTTAATAGCGCCATCCGACTTTGAAGGTTCGTTTACTTCGTTACTCGTTAGTGTTCGGTTCGGTGCATGTTATAATGACAAAAATTCCACTTGAAAGTCAAGGGATATATTTTGTAAACTGCCGCCATGGGATATATTTTGTAAACTGCTAAGTACAGTTGCAATTAAGTATATATTTGATCTTCAAAACTTATATTTAATTATTACACTGTAATAATAAGCCAAGAGGAGTGTGCCTGTTACTGACATGCTATGTAGCATATGGCAAATATGTACTAAACAAATTTTATTACTTTATGCGTAACTCTGCATGGTCACGGCGTCACGCCGGTTAGGGAATTGAAGAGTTTGGATAAGGCAGGCATTTGGCATGATTAATAATTTGAAATTTATCTTTTTTACTTCTAGAATATTACTATTTTACCATTACTACAACAATGAAGCTTTTAATTGGCCTGCATTGTATTCTATACTATCCTTCCTGCACTTACCTGCTTTCCCGTCAGTCTCAGTCGGAATATTAGACACCAAACGTCGGTAAAATGTCTTGTTTACATTTGTGAACGACTTCATCATTGACAATTTCAAATATGTCTTTAAATGCTTCCCCATAAGTCCGTTGTGGAACGAAATTCTCGCTATTCTCGTCAACATGTTTAAGTCACAATTTTGGCTTGATAAAACAGCATATTATGCAGGTTATCAGGTTATTTAGCCGTGTAGCAAAGCACAGACACGTCACAATTCACAAATAATATCAAGTAATTATTCTGGTTATAAATCATATGTGGTAATTATACAAACTATGTCTTACGTCATCTAACGACTCTGAATATCACAAAACGTCTGCGGGATCAGTTTGCCAGAGCACCAGTCAGTTTTTAGCCAGCGACGAAAAACTAACGTCTGCTTACCCGAGCGTAGCCTGCTCGCAGACGTTGTTATTCTTACGCCAAGCCAAGCGACGAAAAACTAACGCGATCTGCTTACCCATAGTTAATATGGCTTACCCGAGCGCCAAAATGAATTCCGCTACGTCAACCAATCAGAATTTACCTTCCAAATTCTGGAAAGTGACGCGTCAGTTGATTTTATACGAGCGGAAATATAAATATTTTGAAAGCAGTCGTCGGTTGAATTTTGGTCAAAATTGCACATAAATTGAATTTAAAGATATTGATACTTGTACTTGTCCAGGTAATAAAATGCACCATTAATGTTCAGATTTGGATATTGAAGATGTTCGGTTATATTTAAAACGTAAACAAGATGGCATTATATTTATACTGTATCAAGACTATCAATCTAGCATTCTAGGCCAGACTGGCAGACAGCATCAAATGCCGAATATATTTCGCTGAAATTTGAACTTTTGACATTCATTCATTGGTATGAAATAGGTAATTGGACCAGTACTGGTGTAAGACATTGTGTAGCCTAAATAATGAGGACCAGTAGTTCAAATGGTTATCCTTTATTCATTTACTCCGACTCCTGTGATGGTGAACATGTACGCAAAAAAACAAGGGAAACTACGATTCTACTACGTCATCAGTCTACGTCACTGCGGAATTACATGAGAGAGCGCGCGCGAGCTATCTAGGCAATTTGTGCTTGCGTCTTTCTGGGCATAAACCAGCCTAGACCTAGGCCTTCTAGTCTTATTTATATATTTAATATTCAGCGCTTTTTCACATGAAAAGACTGGGACTAGGTGATTTGGGGGCGGGGCGGAGGAAGCAAGCCTAGAAGGCCTGGTGGATTTCCCAACAACAAGGCCAAAACTGCCCTGAAACTGCCCTGGTTGCGAAATGCCCAATTATTGCGTTCTCAAACAGAATTATTTGCAACTTAACGGCGAATTTAAACCGATACAGGTAGAATAAACTCATTTTTAGTATAAACTTACTATTTCTATTTGTATACACGTCTAGAAAATCGGGTTTTTTATCACAAAGTTCGGAGCAACACTATTATTTAATATGTTGACAAGGTGTAGCGAAAGCACAAAATGAGTCAAAATATATACCAAAAGTAGAATCTTTCATGAAATTTTGTCTTATACACAACTACATTAATATATATTTTCTCAATTTTGGCAAGACGCAGTCTTGTGTTTGTAAAATATACAAACACGTATACAATTATAATTTATTAAATAAAACAGATACATACATTATTTAAGAAATAGAAAACGAGTCGCGTGCGTTTATGGTGTGATAATGCACGCGGGGAATGTTGGGAGAATACGAGAGAAGCGTGTAAAACACGAGGCGTAGCCGAGTGTTTTACAAGCTTCTCGAGTATTCTCCCAACATTTCCCAAGTGCATTATCGCACCATAAACGCACGAGACGAGTTTTTCTATTTCTTTTATAATATAAGTAGAAGATATTACATAGTAAACAATTTTACTCAAAAGATCGACGTTGAAATTCTCCTAACATGTACTCAGTGACATCACGCGCATGCTTTTACTGTCGCTTGAATTTTTAAGCGAGCGAAGGAGAAAAATTGCCAAAACAACATACAAACTTTTGATGCTATAAAGCCGGAAAGTTGTCTAAAATAGTGGAAATAAAAAAGCAGTGACACACAGACTAATTTGCCAAAGTTTTTCAGCATCTGGGCTGCTGGATTTGCCATGAAAGACGGTAAATCGTAATAGACCGGGAGCCCAGAGGTGTGAGCTTAGCTGAAAAGGTTACCAATTTTTATGCATACTGCATTGGTCTAAGTACCTAGTGATCTAAGAAAATGGACGTCTGCCGGACACACACTGGTGGATGTGGTCAGGGGGGAGTGAGAAACTAAGCCGCAAAATGAGCTAGATCAGCTGGTGATGTAACCCAACAAAACTTAGTGCAAAATGTTCAGCATAGTGCCAGGAGCCATAAATGACCACTGACAGACAATTTCATCAGGGGGGTGGGTTCGCCAGACGTTCTTGAATGCTGACCCCAAAATTGAGCTAGATCAGCTGGCGAGGAAACCCGACGAAAGTAAGTGCAAAATGTTCAGCGTAGTGCCAGGAGTCATAAATGACTACTGACAGACATTTAATCAGGGGGGGGGGTGTTTGCCAGACGTCCTCGAATGCTGACTCTCAAAATTGAGCTAGATCAGCTGGTGAGGAAACCCGATGAAACTTAGTGCAAAATGTTCAGGATAGTGTCAGGAGCCATAAATGACCACTGACAGACAATTTTATCAGGAGGGTGGGTCCGCCAGACGTCCTTGAATCTACTGAACCCCCAAAATGAGCTAGATAAACCCGATGAAACTTCGTGCAAAATGTTCAGTATCATACCAAGATGGCCACTGCCAGACATTTTGAGTGGTGGCCTCCCAGCTTACTCTTTGCGTGCCAAATAACGTATATATAACAATCCCATATCATTAATAATTCATGAGGAAATTACCTACTCTATTTGGGCCAAATGATGATAGTGAATACCTACTGAAATACAAGTGTAGTGAATAATTCGGATCCAGACTACCTAGCATTAATTAGCCTCATTAATTATTAATGAGTATGTACTCGGAAATATTACATTATGAATAACACCAGGCTCAAACGTGTCAAATATTCTAGAAATTAAGTACGAATATTGTGGCCAACGAAACTAATGTCAATAGCAATCAATCGTCGTCTTCCTCTCCCGAATCTGTATATTCGCTCCATATGTCTACATCTGACAGACTCTCTAGCTCATCGTCAGCTTCTGATTCAGTGTCACTGTCTCTTCACTTTCCATGTTTTGCGTGCTGTTTTCTGTAAACAAACTATCTGGTATGGCAGGGCCTTCAAACCAGGTTGGCTTTAGG